CTGGCCATCCCCTGTACCGTGTCCGCAGTCTCTGGCCATCCCCTGTGCCGTGTCCGCAGTCTCTGGCCATCCCCTGTACCGTGTCCGCAGTCTCTGGCCATCCCCCTGTACGCAGTCTCTGGCCATCCCCTGTCCGTGTCCGCAGTCTCTGGCCATCCCCTGTGCCGTGTCCGCAGTCTCTGGCCATCCCCTGTGCCGTGTCCGCAGTCTCTGGCCATCCCCTGTACCGTGTCCGCAGTCTCTGGCCATCCCCTGTGCCGTGTCCGCAGTCTCTGCCATCCCCTGTACCGTGTCCGCAGTCTCTGCCATCCCCTGTACCGTGTCCGCAGTCTCTGGCCATCCCCTGTACCGTGTCCGCAGTCTCTGGCCATCCCCTGTACCGTGTCCGCAGTCTCTGGCCATCCCCTGTACCGTGTCCGCAGTCTCTGGCAGTCCGCAGTCTCTGGCCATCCCCTGTACCGTGTCCGCAGTCTCTGGCCATCCCCTGTACCGTGTCCGCAGTCTCTGGCCATCCCCTGTAGTCTCTGGCCATCCCCTGTACCGTGTCCGCAGTCTCTGGCCATCCCCTGTACCGTGTCCGCAGTCTCTGGCCATCCCCTGTACCGTGTCCGCAGTCTCTGGCCATCCCCTGTACCGTGTCCGCAGTCTCTGGCCATCCCCTGTACCGTGTCCGCAGTCTCTGGCCATCTCCTGTACCGTGTCCGCAGTCTCTGGCCATCTCCTGTACCGTGTCCGCAGTCTCTGGCCATCTCCTGTACCGTGTCCGCAGTCTCTGGCCATCTCCTGTACCGCGTCCGCAGTCTCTGGCCATCTCCTGTACTGTGTCTGCAGTCCATTGGTTCAGAATTTTTTTTCCCCTGTTTTTTGCCTCTAAAACCTAGGTGCGTCTTATGGTCAGGTGCGTCTTATGGAGCAAAAAATACGGTAAATCACACCTGCTTCTGTGGAAGTGGATTATATTATAGCTAGAATAATTTTTACACATGTACAGGAATGTAAGCGTGCATAGCGCATTGACATACAACAGCGGATGTTCTAAAACTTGCATTACAGTGAACCTGTGTAGTGTAAACAGAATCCAACTGTGGTGGGGTCAGATTGGTTATCTCCCTCCATTTTGGGGGGTGCTTTTGGGGGGGTTCTAGGGGACGTTGTGGAGGGGTTTGGGATGCATATCTGCGATGCACTGTATCTTTACTTTTGATTTTGTGAATATTTATATAAGGGACAGCCCTATGGGTGTGCAGCCTATTATATTTTTTCTAATAAAATGGAATGACACAGGGAAAAAGTAATGAACACATGAAGAAAGGGAGGTGAAAAAAGGCATGGAAAGCCAAGACACCTGCTGAAATCTATCAGTAATTAGAAAGCAATCCTGCCCCTTGTCAATGCAAAAATAATATCAACTGGTTCAGTCTCAATTGATGGCCTATAAAAAGGAGTCTCATTACCAAGGTGTCACACAAGAAACATCTCATGATGGGGAAAAAGCAAAGAGCTCTATCAAGATCTTTGCAACCTTATGGTTGCAAAACATACTGATGGCATTGGTTACAAAAGGATTTCTAAACTTCTGAAAGTTTCAGTGCACTGTTGGGGTTATAATCCAGAAGTGGAAAAGAACATGATTTCACCATAAACTGGCCACGACCAGGTGCTCCTTGCAAGATTTCTGACAGGAGTGAAAAGAAATATCAGAAGACTTGTCCAAGAGCCAAGGACCACTTGGTTCAGAAAGACCTGGAATTAACAGGTATATTTGTCTCAAAGAAAACAATAAGTAATGCACTCAAATGTCATGGCCTGTATGCATGCTCACTGCGCAAGACTCCACTGCTGAAGAAGAAATACTGGGAGAATATAGTCTGGTCAGATGAGACCAAAATTGAACTCTTTGGATGCCTACAATACACCATGTTTGGAGGTAAAATGGCACTGCACATCAACCCAAAAACACCATACCAACAGTGAAGTTTGGAGGTGGGAACATCATGGTGTGGGGAGTTTTTCCAGCATACGGTACTGGCAAACTTCATATCATTGAAGGATGAATGGAAAAATGTACCATTCTTGAAAAAATATGCCATCTACCAGGACGATGAAGATGAAACAAGGGTGGACATTTCAGCAAGACAATGATCCCCAAACACAAAGCCAAGGAAACTCTCAGTTGGTTTCAAAGAAAGAAAATAAAGCTGCTAGAATGGCCGAGCCAATCACCTGACTTGAATCCAATAAAAAAATCTATGGAAAGAATTAAAGATCAGAGTTCATAGAAGAGGCCCTCAGAACCTTCAAGATTTGAAGACTGTTTGTGTGGAAGAATGGGCCAAAATCACACCAGAGGAATGCATGAGATTAGTTTCTCCATACAGGAGGAGTCTTGAAGCTGTCATTTCCAACAAAGAACTTTGTACGAAGAATTAAATAAATTTCAGTTAGTGTGCTCAATACTTTTTCCCTGTGTCATTCCATTTTATTACACATAAACTAATTTCTGAACTTATTTATTTTGGTTTCTTTGTATGTATGGATTGCATGGGTTGTTACCAACATGTGAAAATGTAATGTCAATAGCACCTCTAGATATATATTTACTGAGAAAAAATGGTGACATGTTCAATACTTTTTACCTGCTGTATAATTTACCCCTTGCTGTTCAGAGCAATTTTTTTCAGAAGTTCAAATCAGCTTTTGCTAGAAAATTACTTTCCCCAATAAAAAAAATGGTGGCTCTTGTAATTTTTTTTATGTCACATGATATTTGTGTAGCCGTTTATCAAAAACAAATTTCCAGGTAAAACTACACTAAACACACATAAACGAACACACAAATACAATCGAATACTCAATTTTTGGGGGGAGTTATAAAAAAATGTGGTTGCATCAAATAAAGAGATATCAAACATGTCAAGACTCAAAATTGCAAGTGCTCATGAATTTCCATAGGTAATGCTTTAATCGTAAATGATGACCATAGAGAATTACTGCTCTCACTCCGACATTCTTGGCAATACCCCACCTGTGGTGCAATCACTGTTTACTAATGAGCACTGGACCTACACATGTTTGTATATTCATGTAGGGGGAGGAGATGCTTTTGAGATTTTTTTTCTTATTAAAATTATTTTGTATCTTTTAAAATTTTTAACAAGCTCCCTACGTGATAGTTTTGAGCAGGTGATAGGTACTCTTTAAGGAGACAACAGGGGTCTATTAGACCTTCAATATCTTCTCTACCCTCTAAAGCAGCTAACTGGTTCCCTGGCGGGGGGGGGGGGGGTGGTTGGGGAACCTTCAGTGATTGGGTGACTGCAAAGCCAAAAAAACGCTGGATAAAAAACACTGGTAACGTTTTTAGTAGCATTAGTGTTGTATTAGCGTTTTTACAGTATATATAGGGAAAAATAAAACGCTAGAAAAAAAAAAGCTGTTCGGAGCTATTTAGTAGTGTTTTTTTCTGCTGAAAGATGCCCCAAAAAAACTCTACAAAAACAATTTTTTTTTCTAGATGCTAAAGCCCCATGTACACAGAACACTTCTGAACGATGAAAACTGACTGCTGGAAAACGTAGGTTTAAAAACACGTCTGTTTAGCCGCGTTTGCATAATGCGTTTATATGCGTGTTTAGAAGCGTTTTTTAAAGATAAGCACAGGAGAACCTTCCAAATGCCCAGAATGCACTGAAAAGTGGTAAATTATTAACTATTTCAGACTGTTTCTGAGAAATACACCGAGTAGAAGCAGAGACAGCAGTATGTGTTGAGATAATTAGGTGCGCGTTGCTCATTAACATTTCTTTTGTTTGCAAGGGTGGGAAAGGTCTGGTGGAGGGAGTCATTAAGGCCACCTGGCAGGGGGTCTTCATGAGGAATTTGAGGTGTGAATGGTCATTAACATCTTTTGTTTCCAAGGGTGGGAGAGGTCCGAGGTGTGAATTGGTCATTACAATGTGTGACACGCTTGGTAGGAACATCCTGTGTTTAGTGTTTTGTCCATCTGAGTACATTGAACACGCTTTGCATGCATTTTTCATGATGAAAAATGCTCTGGACAGCATCGGGAACTGGAAGAGTTAAAAAAACATTTTCAGACGCAAACGCTTATAAATGCGATATGCTGCGTTTAGAAGCGTTTTGCGTTTGAAACGCTGATGAAATCGACTGCTGAACGCAAGTTTTCTGCGTTCAAAAAAACAACTGTAAACTCAAATGCCTGTAAATGAAGATGTGTACATGGACACATAGGAAAACATCAGGGTGAGTTCTGGGGATGCTGAAAAAAAACGCTGAACAGCTCCTAAACGCGAGTTTATCAGCTGCAGTGTACATGAGCCCTAAAGCTTAAATAATGCAAATAGCCTAAAGTAGTGTGCATGGACACATAGGATAACACTATTTTGCTTCTAGGAGCAAAAAAATAAATAAATAAATGCTAATAAAAGCTACTAGGAGCTTTAAAAAAAAGCACTAGTGTGCATGGAGCCTTACTGAGCCAATCGCAGGCTGTAAAAAGTGATACCAAGATAATGGTTGCAGCTGCGGTTTTGAGCTTGTCATAACCACTTGCTGACAAGACGCATACACCAGGGGCGGACTGACCATTTGGACACTCGGGCACTGCCCGAGGGCCCGGGGTCAGTAAGGGGCCCCATGAGATGCCCCTGGTACCTTTTTCCTAGGCTTTTTGAGTTTGGGCAAGGACACAGGGGCCCCATGATCCCCTATTGCCCGGGGGCCCCATGAGTTGTCAGTCCGCCCCTGACATACACAATATATGTATGGCAGTCAGCGAATGGTTCATATTGACGTCCAAAGATTAGCTTCTTTCAGGGGGTTCTAGCAGCGCTGTGAAAGTAAAGGCAGACACCTTATGATGCCTGCTCTACAGCAGCAGCCATTTGGATTCTTTATACATCATACAAGATCACTTGCTCTGACACAACATGAAAGAGCAGAAAGATGAGGACTGCTGGGTTACATTACATGTAGGATACCTTTGCTTTTGTTTGCATCAGTGTAAGTAAATCCTGGAGCCTGTCCTGTTTTGCGACCAAAAAGACCCCATAAATTTGGTCCAGTTTTATGCTTCCCATTTTTGTCAACAGTGTGGCACTGGGAACATTTCTGGACGAAAATCTTCTTCCCCTTTTCCACATCACCCATTGTGATTTCTGCCTCAGACCTATAGGAACAAAGACAAAAAACATACAAGAATGAATGGGGGGGAAGAAAAAGTCAAGCAGTTAGGTTACGTGTGCTGAAAATACGACAAGACTTGCTTGTCTATGCAGAAACAGTGTGTTGTGTAACTCAGACCTGCTGAAAATAGGACTCTGACCTCTCTAAACAGCTGCCAAAGTCGTGTTAAGTCCTCATGCACACTGGACGTTTTTACAGCGGCTGTTTTTGGCTTTTGACATTTTTTTCTACAGCTAGTAAACCCCCCAGCATGTTATCCTATGTGTCCATGCACACAGACTGTAATCAATGTTTTTTTGGCTGGGACATTTTTTGGCTGGAAAAAAAAACCCAGGACTAGTGGGTCTCTAGAGGAGTTTTTTTAGCTCTAAAAACACTCTAACGCTGAAAAACATGGCAAAACGGCACAAACCAGCGTTTGACTTCTTTTGAGCAAAAAGAAAATATTTTTTTTTGTAAAAAAAAAAAAAAAAAACGCTGAAAAATGCAAACATGAGAAATTAAGCTCCGAGGAGCAGGGCCCTCCTATCCCTCTTGTATTGAACTGTATTGTTGCTGTATTGTCTCCCGTTATATTGTAAAGCGCTGAGCAAACTGCTGGCGATATATAAATTAATAATAATAATAAAATGCCGCTAAACACTAATGCAAAAACGCTACAAAACTCACGTTTTTAATGTGACTTGACACAGCTAACATTACAAGCATCAAAATGTCCAGTGTGCATGAGGGCTGAAGCTGCAGCCTTTAATCACCTCCCGTCTGGCCGTTGTATATAAACGGCCGGACGGTGGCAGAGCAGGGGCAGGTGGCCGTTTATAAATGGCCTCCCCACCCCCTGCCTGTGCGCACTCCCTGGGACAGCGCAGCACCGCGTTCCTCCGGACACAGTGGAACACCGATCGTCGTACGGGACCTCTGTGCGAGGTCCCGATCATGTGATCACTGACTGACCAATCAGTGATCACATGCAGAGTGGTAAGCAAGATGTCACTTCTGACATCATTGCTTACTACGTGTGAAATATGTGAATGATCAGAGGTCACATGGTACAACGTTTTTTGGCAACGTTTTTGGCAAGGGTGTGTTTTTTGGCTGCAAAAAAAAAAAAAAAAACCCTGAACTAGTGGGTTTATAGAGGAGTTATTTTTAGCTGTAAAAACGCTATAAAGCTGAAAAACAGCGTTTTTGGACTTTTTTGAGCAAAAAAAAAACACTACGGCTAATCAAGACATTGTAGGACTGAAACCTGGAGGAAGCCGGAGAGAAGATGCTGGAAAAGTGATGAACTCTCCACTAGGGAGATCCCCTCCTCTACTGTCACCGAGAACAGTGACAGGAGCTCCAATATTTTAGGTGAGGCGAAATCCTCTAATGGGGATACTTGTTCTGGGGACAACTAAGAGGACAACGCCCCTTACTTTGGGAGATTTCATCTAACTTCCTGTGGTCTCTGGAACAGGAAGTGAAGGAAAATTTCTACAACAATGTAAACAGCATAGAAAAAGAAAGAGAAAAGACTTGCAATGGTTCTAAAGTGCAAAAAAAGCCTCCTACCCTTTTACAGACGGACAGTGCAATCTTAGGCCTCTGTTTACATCTGTGGTTGCCATGGTGCTGCACAACGGAGTAGCACCCCGGTAACCATGACAGTTTAACCCATTCAAGGCATGACTCTGGTGATGACTGGCTTTACATTAGCGGCAGAGATTGCGGTTTGCAGTTAGGGGTGATAGGTCGCCTCCTCTCTACCCGTTTTAACCCTCAAAATGCCAACCCAAGCTTGAATGGGTTGTACTGGGCGGCATTACTGCATGCCAAAAGTGGAAGCTTTGCTTATCTGCCCCCCCCGCCACATTTAGCAACTTTTGGGGGGGGAGTGGTGAACTGAGCCAGAAGTTTCACCCCCCCTTCCCCCCCACAGCCATCTGGGACATTTTACAGCTCCCAGAGGACTGTGGCCCATTTACAGAGCGCAGCACGATTCACGCATGTGCAGTAGGAAACCGGCGGTAAAGCAGCACAGCTTCACCACTGGTTTCCCTTAGTCAAGATGGCGGTGCCATCACCCGACATTGACGAACCGGCTCTGGGTGAGGACTCTGCTGGATCCCTGGACAGGTAAGTGCCCTAATATTAACTGCTTCACGGCTGCCCTATAGCATAAGTACTGCTACAGGGCTGCGCAAAATCACGTAAATATATGTGATTTTGCATTTCTGGGAAGGGAACGCATGCGCACCAGCCTACCCGCAACGCCATTGGTGGCTATAGCTGTTAATCACCGGGTCCCAGCTGGAGATTCCCCGCTGGCACCCGGTGATCGCCGAGAAACACTGACAGGGGAGAGGTCTGTATGCAAAAACACAGATCTCTACCCTGTCAGCACCAGCATGCTGCTTTGTATTGTTCTGCATAACAGAGCAATACAAAGCAGCATGCTGAAACAGTAACACAGCAAACAGTTAACCTTTTGATTGCCCCAGATGTTAACCCCTTCCTGCCCAGTGTCATTAGTACAGTGTCAGTGCTTTTTATTAGCACTGATCACTTTATTAGTGTCATTGAGATGTCAGTGGCAGTCAGTTCCCCCCCAGTGTGAGAATACCCGCTACAGTCCCGCTATAAGTCGCCGATCACCGCCATTACTAGTATAATGTTTTTTTTAAATCCCTATATATACCGCCATTTGTAAATGCTATAACCTTCACGTAGACCAATTAATTTACATGTATTGGCATTTTTTTTTTTTTTTAGCAGACGTAGCAAAATACATTTTGGCCTAAATTTATGACGAAATTTGATTTCATTTTTTTACTGGACATGTTTAATAGCAAAAAGTCAAAAACATTGTTTTTTTTTTCAAAACTGTCAGTCTTTTTTTATAGCACAAAAAATAAAAAACTCAAAAGCGATCAAATACCACCAAAAGAAAGCTCCATTTGTGGGGAAAAAGGACAAATTTAATTTGGGTGCAGCGATGCATGACCACGCAATTGTCAAAGTAACGCAGCACCGTATCGCAAAAAATGTTTTGCGATATCTGCGTTACTTTAACTGACAATTGCGCGGTCATGCAAGTAAGTAACAGCGCCGTATCGCAAAAAATGGCCTGGTCAGGAAGACTCCCTTCTTGGCCAGGCCATTTTTTGCGATATACGGCGCTGTGTTACAAATCCTCTGGAGGGCAAGTGGTTAAAAAGTCAGCAGATACAGTATTTGTAGCTGCTAACTTTTAATTTTTGGTAGGGGGGCCAGAACTCCTCTTTAACAATGCAGCTCTACCACGTTTTTACCGCCCTCCATCCACACATGTAAACCAGCCCTTAGGACTCATTCACAGATGCAGAAGGCCGTACATAGAATTCAGTGTACATCTGCCTATACAAACCAATGACCATGGGACACATACTATGGCTGGGCGCACATCTGGACGACTATATACGTCCAGTTCTCTATAGACATGATACAAATACATCTAAAAAGGGGCGGAGCATATTGATGACATACAGGTGATGCTGACTCCAAGCATGCATTGCTCTGCATGATCTACAAGAGTCTATGAGAACATCACAAACAGAAAGGCCTCCATAGATGGACACCCAGCTGATGGCCACAATCTGCCCCGATCACGTGATCTCCTCCCCCTGCACCTAGCTCTGTCTTCTCTCCCCTCCCCCTCTCACCGGACTGTTCGGTCACTGTCCGCACCGCTCTGCAGATCACGATGTCCACCTCACACGTGACTCTCCATCCGCCCTCCGGCTAATTCCATCCAACCAGTGTTCGCGAGCCGCAGGTTGACGTCACCGCAGCTGGAGACCGGCACCACGCCCAGCACCAACTCTGTCCAATGGTTTTACGCGTTCCGTGCTTATCACATGGCGATTGGCAGGAAGAATAGGATGGGCGTGGCAAGCCGAGATATTTCCTAAAATAGAAAAGTAGCCGGTAGGATTAATTGGATGGAGGATGTGGGGAGTGTATGGGGCTCTATGGGTCCATGGCGCTGACATACGCCGCAACAGTCTTACATACATACGCCGCAACGGTACATGCACAAAGGCTGTAATAATGAGGCAGTGGGAGGCATGGGACTAGTATAGGACGACTGCAAGGAGAGTCTGCGGCCAGAGCCACATGAAGCATGTTTTACCACTTGTCCTCCAGAGGATTTACCCCCCTTCCTAACCAGGCCAGTTTTTGTGATACGGCTCTGCGCAGGGGTGGACTGACAACTCATGGGGCCCGGGTAATAAAGGATCATGGGGCCCCTGTGTCCTTGCCCAAACAAAAAAGCCTATGAAAAAGGTACCAGGGGCATCTCATGGGGCCCCCTACTGACCCAGGGCCCTCGGGCAATGCCAGAGTTTCCAAATGGTCAGTCCGCCCCTTGCTCTGCATTATTTTGACTGAATTGCGCGGTCGTGCAATGCTGCACCCAAATGAAATTTACATCCTTTTTTCCCACAAATACAGCTTTCAGTGGTATTTCATCACCTCTGCGGTTTTTATTTTTTGTGCTATAAACAAAAAAAAAACCGACAAGTTTGAAAAAAAAATATTTTTGACTTTACGCTATAAAACATCCAGTAAAAAAAAATGTAAAAATCGCATTTCGTCATAAATTTAGGCCAAAATGTATTGGGCTACGTCTTTGCTAAAAAAAAAAAAAAATCCCAATACATGTAAATTAATTGGTTTACGTGAATGCTATAGCGATTACTAATGGCGGTATAGATACTGGGATTTTTTTTTTTTTTTTAAGGTTATACTAGTAATGGCGGCGATCAGCGACTTATAGCGGGGCTGTGGCAGGCATTCTGACACTGGGGGGAACTGACTTGGGGTCACTGGCATCCCCAGTGACACAAATATAATTATCAGTGCTAATAAAAAGCACCGACACTGTACTAATGGCACTGGGGAGGAAGGGGTTATAGCGTTTACAAATGGCGGTATATATAGGGATTTAAAAAAAAAAAAAAAAGTTACACTAGTAATGGCGGTGATCGGCAACTTATAGTGGGCATTCTCACACTGGGGGGGGAACTGACTGCCACTGACATCCCAATGACACTAATACTGTGATCAGTGCTAATAAAAAGCACTGACACTGTACTAATGACACTGGACAGGAAGTGGTTAACATCTGGGACGATCAAAGGGTTAACTCTGTGCTGTTTTACTATGTGTGCGGTGTTTTACTATGGAGACAAGCTGCTTTGTATTGCTGTGAAGTGCAGAGCAATACAAAGCAGCTTGTTCATGCTGATTGGAGAGATCTGTATTGTTTACACACAGACCTCTCCCCGGTCACTGCTCCTCGGCAATCACGAGGAATCTCCAGATGACCAATAGCTGTAGCCACCAATGGCGGCGCGGGTAGGGCTGCGTGCGAGCGCACCCCCTACCAGGAAATGCAAAGTGTGTGTGTGTGTGTGGGCCGTGTGTGTGTGTGTGGCCGTGTGTGTGTGGCCGTGTGTGGTGTGTGTGTGGCCGTGTGTGTGTGTGTGGCCGTGTGTGTGGCCCTGACGCCCTGTAGCAGTAGTTCTGCTTTAGGGTGAGCGTGGAAGCAGTTAAAAAATAATTTTAGGCCTGAAGATTGATTAGCCCCCCCCCCCCCCCCCCAAACCTATATATTTTCTACAAGCAGAGGCCCTGGAGAATAAAATGGTGGTATACCAAATTCTTGTCATTGATATTAGCACAATGCTTTTACAAGAACAAAAGTTTAGTAAAGAATACACCAAATCTAAAGCGATTGCAAACTTTCACCTTGTAAAACAGCTCAGTTTAATATAACATATGTCTATAGATATTTAAAAAACATAACTTTTTCCCTTTTTTTAACCACTTCAGCTCCATAAGGTTTTACCCCCTTCATGACTAGGCCATTTGTTGCTATACCGCACTGTGCTATTTTAACTGGTAATTGCTCGGTCATGCAACCCTGTACCCAAACGAAATGTATATAATTTTTTTCACACAAATAGAGCTTTCTTTTGATGGTATTTGATCACTGCTGGGTGTTTTATTTTTGCGATATAAACAAAAAAACTGCAAATTTTGAAAAAAAATATTTTTACTTGCTGCTATAAAAAATACATATAAAAATGTTTCTTCATAAATTTTGGCCATAATATATTCTGTTACATGTCTTTTATAAATAAATCCCAATAAGTGTATATTGATTGGTTTGTGTGAACGTTGTAGTGCCTATGAACTATGGGATATATACTGGAATTTTTACTTTGCATGGCAGCGATCAACGATTTACAATGGGGCTGCAAGAGTTTGACAGGAAATCTGCCACTAGCTGCCGCTGACATCACCAGTGACATTAAAGTGGTAATAAAGTCACTTTGTTAATTTTTTCCTATAAGTAAGTTTATAATAAAGCTTACCTGTAGGTAAAATGAATATCTCCTTAATGTGTATTGTTTAGGAGATATTCAGGGTTTTTTTTTTTTATAGATGGCGCATGCGCTCTAAAGGAACAGCACACCTGTGCTGTTCCTTCAGAGCACTGTGCCGTGTCCTGAGACTCCCGTACGCATGTGTGGGAGCAATGTCATCGCGGCTCAGCCAGTCAGATGGCTGGAGTTTGTAAACCCGGAAAGAAAACAGAGTGAAGATGGAAGCCTTTACAGCGGTGACAGCGCACCACTGGAGGGCTTTGTTTTAAGGTATGTTTTACATATTGTGCTAGTATGCGATGCATACTAGCAAATTATGCCTTAACCTTGCAGGGGATTTTTTTTTTTTCTTAAGTGGTTTACTACCGCTTTAATAAAGTGATCAGTGATAATACTATACACTGTCACTGAACTGATGACACTGGCTCGGAAGGGGTTACCATCTAGGGTGATCAAGGGGTTAAATGTGTGCCTAACTATGTGTAATGTGTGTAAAGTGTGCTGCTTTTACTAAACAACCTATCAGTTTCTCATCCCTGATTTGCGGGATGAAAAACTGTTAGTTTGCTCCCTGTGTACAGAGCTCTGTGTTGAATGTCAACACAGAGCTCTAGGCTGTGATTGCAAACAGCCAATCAGCAAGTCCCTGCTGTGAATCATTGCCTGGGACTTGCTGACAGACACCCACTGTGTACAATCACAGTGGGTGCCAGTGTGGGAGAGTTTGCGCCTGAAACCTGGAAGTAGGCAGTGACATACCCATACGTCGCTTTGCTTACAGCTGCCATCTGTCTGCAGTACATTGCAGGCAGGAGGTTGTAAAGAGGTCATAAGTGACCGCATACCCTTTGTTCTGAGCTGCACAGAGGTGGGGGAGCTGAAGCAGCAGCATACTGATCTTCCCAGTGAATGGCTGTGCAGGGAAGGGAGCGTGTGTGCCAGGACAAGTCTGATCGGAGAGTAGACACAGCTAGAGAACTGACTACGCTTTGCTCTCATGTCTAGTTTGGTCAGTTTTTAATAAAAAAAAAAAAATCAGGAGGGACTGGCAGGAACACCAGGGATTTCTCACAAAGGAAGC